AGACTGCTGTCCTGTCTCCCCTGGTCCTTCTTTTCATTAAACTAGACCTACCCAGTTCCTGCAACCGTTCTTTGTATGTTTTAGCCTCCAGTCCCCTATCAACCTTGTTGCTCTTCTCTGCACTCTTTCTAGAGTCTCCACATCTTTTTTACATTGTGGCGACCCAAACTGGATGCAGGATTCCTGGTGTGGCCTTACCAAGGCCTTATAAAGTGGTATTGACACTTCACGTGATCTTGATTCTATCCCTCTGTTTATGCAGCCTAGAACTGTGTTGGCTTTTTTGGCAGCTGCTGCACATTCAGATGTATGTCTATGATTTCCAAGAAAGGATGATTAGCTCTCATTGCTATCATCATCTTCTTTTAATGACCCCATAATCCCTTGCAGGGTGGAGTCTGGGCAACTGAATGTAGCTGAGTATTTACTGGCCAGATGCCCTGCTTGTCACCAATGCGGAGTTTTGTTCGGCAGGTATATTCTCATTCTGCCCAGAGAGAGAAATATCTGCCTCTACCTAGGATCGAACTCACAGCCTCCTGATTGTGAGGCGAGAGCTCCCCCTCTAGGCTACGGCCCCACTCTCCGCTCTCATTGCTTTGAAGATGCTAAATTGACAGGTAATCGGTAGCTGACATATTTCCTGGTGTCATCATGTGTTTCTTCTCTTTTCGCAGCTCTCCCAAGGGCAGGACTTGGCGTCTTCATTGTGCAACGGTAACGTCGCAAAACAGGTGATGGTAGAGACATCGTGCAGTATCTTGAGCAGCGATCTCTTCAAAGAATGCAAAAAACTGGTGAGCCATTTCTCATCCGGATAATAATTCTCATTCTGGTTTCCAGTGGCTGGACAACAATTTCTCCCTTGAATTAATCACGAGCCCTGATGCTTAGTATGAATGAAGGGCAAATATATGGCCTCCAAGGATAACATCGCAGGATCCATTCTGCGTCGGTCACCCGTACCAGAGATTCTGTCATGCCGCCATCAGAGTCTGACTCTTGAGATGGAGGATGAACTGCTGACATAGAGCGTGAGAGTGGCTTTGTTGGCTGTGGAAGAAATTGGGGAAGGGCAAAGTCAGGCTGAGCAGAGCAGAGGAGAGGTAGAACAGGGGAGAGGGGGTTCAGATGAAGACCAAGGCCCACCCTCTCCTCATCCTAGGGCACGCACGGAAGAACACAGAAGAGAGCAACGTGGGTTGTGTGTCTTACGAGGGAGGAAAGGTCCCCGATTCCCTTCACAAGGCACACCTGGGGATGGAGTTTAAAGGAGAGGCAAATGGGAGGGAACAAACACGCAGTTCATCTCGTGTTAACTGCTTTATCTGAGTTCCTGGCATCCTCCCAATTGGTTTGATTTACTGCCCTGCTACTTCACTTCTGGAACTAGCTTACCCTGCTGGGTTAATGACCTTCTCTTGCCTTGTTGGATTTATAGTTGGAAGTTTTCTGCTTACAACATTTGGGACTGGAGTATTTTCAGCCAAAGGCTGTTAACAGGTTTGTGGAAGAGTTTTTTCTCCAGACCGGAGAGTTGAAAGAGATGTTGGGGGCACAGTTGGTGCTAATAAAAGGACTCATACCAGTTCTCTGGCTGTGCCTCAGTTCTGACAGGATAGTGGGGAATGGAAGGATTTTTTTTTGCAGGCAGTTGGTCATTTGCATCCTTTTAGAGGGTCGTTGAGGCCACTTGGAGGTGTATCAGTATCCTCAGGGTCACCTGAGTGGTGCAAATGGTTCCTGTAGTCTGCATTTTTTTCCCCTCTGGAAATCCATTCCTACTCCCACCCCATTCCAAGGCTGTTCATCCCAAATTGTATAGCTAAAAGTCTGTAGAGATTCCCAATCCTCCAGGTCACAGTTGTCCCAAAGGTGCTTTTTCAGGAGGCAGCTGGACTTTCTTGTTTTTTCTTTCAAGACTTTACACTTCTCATCCAAGAAGCTTCATCAGCTCTGACTGGATGGTGGGGAATGGAAGGATTTATATTCCTTG